AGATCGTTGCGACGCACACCAAACAGACATTATTGCCGTGTGCTTTGGTTAAAAACTGCTTTTGCTTTGAATATGGTGTGTGTGCGTGCATATGTATTTGCGGCGAGCGAAGATAAGCAGAAGCGTTTTTAATGGCGTGAACAAAAAGAGCACATCGTGTCAAAAATTGAATTGCTCTAGGAAAAATTGCATTGAATCGCGAGAGACATGGCAGAGAGATGTATTGGAGAAGTACATCGTGCATTGCGGAAAAATGCGCATGAAATGGGAAAAGCAGAAAGAAAAAGTGACGGTAACGTGTCAGCATCAGCACGAGCATCGAACGAGGAAAAAGACAATGTGGCCAAAACATGGGAAATAGACAAGCGCACAGAGTGGGAAGAGAGCGCTCCAAATGAAAATTCTCAACTAGATAGATCTATAAATGCCAAACGAATCATTGAGCTCACAAAATCTAAGCAAAAATCGAAATCACAATACGTACACACAACAAATCGAAATGGAAATTGAAACGCGAAGAAAATGAAAGAAGAAGAAAAAAAAAGAAAAGGAGAAATAATCAAAAACTGAAAAAATAACAGACAAAAGCAAACAGAAACATGTAAATTGTTCGGTACCAATTTTCATTTCCACCAAATCACTTGAGGGGGAGTGTTGTTTTCATTTCTATTACTGCGGTGTGTCTGTGTCGGTGTGTTTTTAATTGCCCGAACAATTCTTGATGCAAGATCGAAAACGTCGTTTGTTATTTGTTTGCCAGTGTCTGTGCCTATTGTAACATTGCGATGGAATATTTGACTTGCACATTCACGCTAGAAATTGATGGCACATCATTAATCTAGAGCGCTTTTGCTTTCCCATTGTACGACGTTTCACGTCGGAAATTTTTACTACACACAAATTTTTACTCTCTTTTTGTATTTCTCTCTCTCTCTCTCTCTCTCTCTCTCTCTCTCTCATTCGCTTCACCGCTGTACAATGTGTACTTAATGTTGTTACTGTTGCTGCTGCTGTTGTTGTGTGGTGAACGCGCGATGCATTTCTCAGTTCTGGGTGATATAATTATAATTTCTGGATTTCTTTTCTTTTCGCTGTGGCGCTGCCAAACACAAAGCCAAACCAGCAATTTCAAGACCTTTTCTCCCATTTCACGTGTTTACACGATGATGAATGTGATTTTATGCTAAACTTCTACTTTTTCCTTCAAATTCACATCCAATTCTACTGTATCTGCTTTGGGTTGGTCGGTCGTTTTTTTTAAATTTCTTAACGAGAGAGAATATGGCGCAAACCATCGTTTTTCATTGCATTATTTCTTCTTTTATTTATTTATTGTTCACAGTTCGTTGTGTTTTTCCTTCTGTATGATCGAACCGGACAGCATGGATTGCTGCAATGACACCATTTAAAACAAGAAAAAGGCGATCTCATTTCTTTTCGGATAATTTATTACGAGATAATTATTACTGCACGACCAAACCAATGATGACAACGCATCACTAAGCATATCAATCGTTCGGTCGTTTCCACTTTGTCCGCCTGATGTGAATATTGCGATCATCCGAAATAACAACGGATATGAATTATACTCGTGTACTTTTGCTTTGTACCTTTAATTTGTTTGGCTGAGGCATTCTCATTTTGGCATAGTTGTTGTTTTTTCCTTCTTCTTCCCATTGACGGACGACATAACGGCAACGACGAATAAAATATAATTGATTTTTGCTTATGGGAAATCCAATCATTTCGGTATGTCTTGCGACTTTCCGTTTACACCATCGAGCTATTGCATCCGCACACATGATGCCCACTTTGAATAATTCACTAAATTGAATGCCATCATCATCGTCGTCGTCGTCGCCGTTGTCGATTGAAATCAATTTAATTTTTCCGATAATTGAAGAAATCGTGAACGCCTGTCAACGGCTTGTTTCCGCCGTTCATGTCAAATTCCGAATTGAAGTCAAGGCGTAGGAAATCCGCAAATCTCTCGATCGTAAATTTTTCCCCAATTTTCGACACACGCATAATAAACAAGAAGTGATTGGCGATCATGGTTTTTCCATCATTTTCATATATATTCATTCACTTACGCAACCATGCAGCGTCGAAAGAAACAAAAACCAACAGTGGCCATTTAATTCAATGGTCATTTGCCATGGAATATTTGCCGATTAAACAAAATGATATTGAAATGTTTCTCTCGTCAAAACCAAATGTGTGTGTGTGTGAATGTGTGTGTGTGTGAAATGAATGTGGCAATTTTCAGTCATTTTTTCTCCAGAGAAGGAGAGAGAGAGAGAGAGAGAGAAGAAGAAATGAATGAAAATCGCTCATCAAATGGTGACAATTCGTCCAAAAACCATAGATTTTGCTCGACAAATTGCGAGGAAAGAAAAACATCAACAGAATGAAGATAAACAAATCCATTTTAAGTGTTTCAATTGTCTTCGTTTATATGGAGCAATGTGAAAATGTGGAAACGAAGAGTTTGAATCAGTTATGAAAAAAATCGCCTCCGTTTAATGGGCCTACAATCATCCAAGATTTCATTGTCATTCACAAACGGGAAACCGTTGCAAAACACTCATGGGGGGCATGATGATGCGCTTGACCACTCTTTTAACCGTGCTGCTGGGTATGCATGCAAAACTGCGCGATCGTGTTGAAATACAAATTTCACACCACAGAAAATGAAGAAGAAAATGCCATTTTTCAAATGAAATTTTTTGCACACCGTTTGATCATGATGATCGCTCGTGAATTTCCGCCCGAACAACCAACCGACCGACTGACCAATTCGATTTAATTTTTTTTCACATCATATATCGTGCGCGGGCACACGCATTGTCATCATTTTCGGATGTGGCTTTCTCGTGCCTTCGATAGACCCATCCCGTAGATTCATTCATAATTAAATGAAATTTACTTTCCTCTTGTACATTGTGTACACGAAGAGAGCAACGCATCGTTGTTTACCTTTTTTTTTTCTCATATCGATAATTCGAGATGAGCTGTAATTAACCGTGTGTGCACAACGCACCGAGAATGAAGACCGAAAAACATGATCATGAATGAAAATATTTTCGACCATTCAATTGAAAGATGGAAGTGCGATCCGATGGTGATGCGCTCTTGGCCATCAACTTCACTACCATCTTTAACATTGCAAAACAAATGTGAATATTAATGATCCAGCAAATAAATTGCCTAAAGTACAAATGCTTTTCACTCTCATTCATTTTTTTTCTGTTTATTTTCAATTGCTTGACGATGAAATGTTTTTTTTTTCCTTTGGTCGATAGAAATCATCGAATCATCGGTGGCCCGTTTCTTTTCTTCTCTCTGTCGATTGCACACGAATTGGACAGTGAATCTTATTGGAGCAGTAAATTTGTGATCGATTTTGTGCAAGAAAAGATGATTGGTCTCTGAATTTTGAGACACTCAACAACTTTTGCTGGTATTAATAACAAGCTGCGTAACGATCACCAATTCCAATCGGGTCCGAAATCAGACACAAAGAGGGAGTGAGAAAAACACAACAGCAACTGCAACAGCAGAATTGCAATAGGAACAACGGAAATGATGTAAAAATTCATGGTGCGATGTGTGTTTTTTTTTCTTTCTTTTGGTTTTACATCTGCAAAATCGTCTTCTCAACGACAGAGATGAAGGTGCGAACCTTCAGACGGTTTATTGCTTGTGCGTTTTCAATTTGTGGCGCTGCTGTTTTCCGTCCGCTCACTTTTTCATTTCGAATAAATTTTATTGCGTTTCCATGTAGTTCATTGTTGATAAAGCAGCTCATTGAATCTTCGATCCGAGGTAAATATTTCGATGCGTTACATTTACGCAAAAGAGCGAAAGGCGCGTGTCTCTATCGTGTCAGCACACATACCATCAATTTGTGTTGTCGTTTTTTGTTCCAGAATAAAATATCATCTTGATATTTTCACTCTTTCACTCTTCCCATTATCATCATCATCATCATCATCATCATCACCATCATCATCATCATCATCACATCACAAAGCACTGGAAATAATCGCATTTATTATACGCTGGTGTTACCATTCCGTTCAGATAATTTTATTCGGGTTTCAAAAGAATCTTCGCATTCGCAACAGCAACAGCAGAGCAGCAGCTATGAACGAGTCAACTCCCCGAGCAAATGGAGACACAGACAATGGGCCCGACACACGCACTCAGCCTCAGTGCATTGAAAATCTCAATCACATCGTGCTCACATATACAATACAGACAAACAATTGGGCTGCTGTGATTTGCCAAGTCTCTCTGACTATGAACTCTCGCGCTCGCTTGCTCGGGCAACAAGCAGCAAGAAGAAGATGTATTTCGTGCACGCAATCGTTTCGAATTTCCAATTCCGCGCACGCGCAAGCGCTCACGTTCGGCGCTATTTTTTTCTCCATTGAATCCGACTCGGTACACATTTTGTGTGTGAGCTGCGCTCTCTCGGTGTACTCTACTCATGGCTTTGTTTCGCTTTTCTTTGCTCGTTCACTTGAAAATCGGTATTCATTTTGAACTTCTTTTTTTTATTCATCTCATTTCAGTTGTCTTTCTCTCTCGTTTTCGCCATTGTAACAAACCGAACGAAATTAAGACGAGAAAGAAAAAAAAAAGTTTCACATTTATTATCTTTCGTTCGGTACTCTTTCAAATACCTAGGATTTATTTGATTTCTTGCTCATTTTCGGGGGTTTCTTTCTTATTACGTGACGCTTGTAGATCTTTTGTTTTAAGAATTTTAGTTTTATGGTTGTTCGATTCCAAATTCGTACATTACAAATACAAATTGCTTCATCGAATTTATCGAATGCGATTGAATTGATCGAGCCCGAAAAAAACCATATACATATTTACGACGGGCCCATCACACAATGTGATTCACTATTTCGTGCCTAACCATCAAAACCATTAGTTTAAAAGAGCTAAAGAATTTAAATGAATAAATAAATAGATGCATATGTTACCCAATATTTATTCCAAGCGCTGATGAACGATCAATGTAATCCACAGAAAAAGAAAAACCTCGGTGAAAATAAAGTTTAATTCGTGAGCCTTTTTCATATATAATCCATTTAATTCGATGCGGAATTAAGAGGGAAAACCCCAACAATGTCACAATCGGCAATTTTCTGATCAACTTTAGATTATTTTTTCGTTTTTCTCACGCAATTTTCCGTTTTTATGTTTTTTTCTTGGTCAGAGTTCAAATTCACGATTGTCTAACTGAAGCACTTTCAAAATTTCAATGGAGATGGAATGGAAAATCGCACAAAATCACACTAAAAATGCACACGATATAGCGGAAGATCAATTGCATCCGCTTCAAATCAAATGTTTTTTTTTTCTTTTTCAAATCTGTGAGAAATATTGAAAATGTTGAACCTTTTTTTCTTCGAAAAATCAAAATTGTAATCTTTGTTACGGTCGATTTTGTGTTAAACTATGTTTCACAGAAGAAGAAACAAAAATCCAACCAAATTGCGTTGACTTAGACGACAAACGATTCAAAACAAGAAACAAGAAACAAAATACAGTACACCACGGTAAAGCGCTAAACAGCGAATGAATAATTATGCATTTGCTGTTTTATTTTTGAAGCAGAAGACAAACAACGCGATATCGGCAAAGAAAATTCACAACAACCTATGATATACACACACAAACATACGAACGAGTGTACATACAATGTGAGCGCATTCCCCGTCCCGGCTCACTTCGGTTCAGCTTTGTATGTATGAGAGCGCGCGCGCGCGCGTATGCTTTTGCTCAGCGCACAAACACTGTCTGAGCCAACTGAAATGAGTTGAGGTGAGTGCGTTTTGGTGAGACAATAATAGGCTGGCCACACTAACATCAACCACGCGCGTGATTTGAAATTGATGTAGAAAAAAAATTAAAAATTACATCATGAAAGAAGAGCACGGAATAGTTTTCAGAATATATTTTCATTTCTGGATATTTTTTGCTTTTCACTTTTTCGTTCTCGAATTTCGGCATTCTTCAGTTGATTTTTAGAAAAAAGGTTCGATAGAAAGAATCATTCAAGATTCGTTTGCCCTTGAAATAATTCCAAAAGTCACACATATCTTATAAAAATATTAGAATTGCCCAATATTCATACGTCATTAGTTCAAAATCAGGATGTGAACTAACCAAAAAAAAAAATTCAATCGAACAGAAAGCACCTGCCGTTCGCCGTGGACAGTCCAATTTCAATGGCAACTGTGTAAGTGAGTCATTCACAGTGTATGAAAGTAAAAATGTATGCAAAACAAACTGAACAGAATTAAGCGATGATCGCGACCTTCTTGAGTAAAAGCTCTAAGAAAAAGATGAAGAAGAGGTGGTCTATGGAATTTTAGCTTGGAATTTGTATGAAAGTGAGCAGACAAGGCGCTGTTGCTCGTGTGTGTGTTTGTGTGTGTGTGTTGTTTGATGGTGGATTGACTGTCGTTTGGCGGGCGTAACAGTGCACAACATATACTCAATCAAAACGAAACAGAAGTAAAAGAAAGAAAGAAAGAAAAAGATCAGTCGCGCGCATACAAGTCAATTAGATCGTATTTTGCAGTCGTTTATCGAATCGCATAACAACAATCGAAAAGAAAACAATCGATTGAAGTGGCAAACATTCATAAATTCATCGTTAGCTATTTTATTTCGGTTTGCTTCATGCCAAAGTGATGTTTTGTGGACTTAAGAGGAAGTTGTAAGCGTCGTCACCCCGGATGACTTACCCGAATGCACGATCAAAAACCACATGATTTATCGTTTTCAATTTTTGCGATTCGTTGTCGGCGATAGGGCATGCATATCCATACGGAAAAAGTCAAACAATTCGGAAGTGTTTGTCATCGCATTGATTTCTGTAATCATTGTGGAATTTCTGAACTGACGTCAGTCATTTTGTTATGATTGATGCAAAGACCGTTGTTTGAACCACTTTTGGAGCAATTTTTTTCTTCTTACTTTTAGTTGGTCTTAAATTGGTTTAACCGTTGTGCCCGCATCACAGAAAACAGCAACAACAACAACCTCAGCAGCAACGCACTTGCAGATAATTAAACTGCTTCAATTAATGCCACTGAAATTGGTCTTCAGTTCACTGGCGTTGTTGGTTTTATGTTGTTGCTTTTTTCGGTTTGGTTTGCTGTGATCCGAAGTTACTTAGCGATACAATATTGTGTTGGCCGTTTTCCATTTTCTCTTATTGTTATTATGTTGCCTTACTCACACACACACACACACACACACACACACACTTCGGTCGGCCGACAAAAAAATTGACTGACAAAATTATGATAAAACTTCTTTTTGTTTCTCTCCGATTGGGAAATTCCACGAAGCATATGGCTTCGACACAACGGCTGTAAATGACATACATCAGAATGTGGATTGCAATTGCGTTACCATTGTTGTTTGCCTTGTCAAGGTAACTCAATTATGGTCGAACGCGTGTGTGCGCGTGAGCGAGCGATCACTCGTTCACTCTCTTTGCTCGTTCGCGCAGGCACAAAAACGAAAATATACAGCGTATGGAGAGTGAGAGAGAGAGAGAGAGAGAGAGAGAGAGAAAAGAGAGAATTTCAGTATTCGAAATGAGATCCGTGTCTTGCATAACATTTTATGGAATTTGATTTCCATGATGATGGCGGCGCATTGACTGTCGGTTCTATGTTTTCGAGTTTTTCTTCTTTCTCACTGTTCTCAGTGTGCTTGTTTTTCGAGCAACACGCTGGTACGGCGATAAGTGCTTGCGACATAATTTTGAATTTTGACTGAATCGTCTCTATTTTTGGCATTTACATCGCACCTATGCGTTGCCCATAGCTTCTTCAAAAAATTATCGCGTAATTTATGTGCAGCATGATACGAAAAAACTGAGCGCATTTTAGTTCTCTCTTTACCAATCTGTCGTCACATTCTGTCTGTGACATACGCATCGATGATTGATGTTACCATTCTATTTGAAGCAACAGCAACAACAACAAAAAACACCAAATCGCAATTGTTATGGAGTGTAAATGAGGGTCAACTTCGTGTTGTGTTGCAAATGAATTGGGTAAACATTGGCATAAAATTGATGAAATTAGTGTTGATTAAATTGCGACAATTCGCATAAAACGCGTGCCCGCGTGCGCGCTGCCATGCTCTGCAAGTGTTACGTTTGAAAAACAAACCAATTAAAAATAGACCAATCGCTCGCCGAATTTGTTTATTGTTTCTCGCATGTGAAAAAATTCCATCGTGCACATCGATTTTAGCAGCAAAACTTAACAAACAACATGGGCTTAGACTTCAATTTTGTATTTTTTTTTCTTCGTTAGTTTATTTCAAAAGCTTCTGAAAGATCATCACAAATGATTTCGGTTTTATGGCCAGCGGTGCGTTTTTTCTATTCAGCTTTGTACATTTATGAAGTATCTTTTGTTATGCTGAACACGGACGCGACTTGTTGTTGTTTTTTTATTGTTTGTTGAGTCACGTCAAATGTCGATATTTCCCATGTGCACCGTGATATCGATCATCGAAATGCCGAAGCATGTTGGAAAATGATCTCTAGCGGATGGGGATCTGTAACCAGAAAGGGAAAAAACCGTGCAAAAGGAATTCCAAGCACTCTCAAAGGTTATTGCTTGCCGGATGTTTCTGCTGCTGCTGCTGCTGATGCTGAAACATTTGGACGTGTTGCTTTTCAATTACTTTATCGTTTTAACACAGAACGTCAATCATTGAAATCATACGCTTGTGGCGTATTGCATACACACACACACACATACATACACATAAATTGCATCTGAAAATAAAATCAACTGATTTGAGTGTGATAAAAAAAAACACACAAAAGAAACCAATCCAGCCCAAAGTGATGTAAGAAAGAAAGTAGTAGTAAATTGGCTTTTAAAGCTTGTAACATAATCTGCTGTGGCTGGTTTGTTGCTTATATTTTGGGCTTACACACAAAATAACAACAACGAGAGAGAGAGAGAAAAAATAAATCCAGCGCCGATGGAGAGAAATGAAGCTGGTCGTTTGTGTGAATGTACGCAGTGAAGAGAAGAGAAGAAAACGTACAGAAAAACAAAACACGCAGCAAGAGAAAGAAATAAGGAAAGTATAAAGTCTGTATTATCGAAGATGCAAGAGCATGCATTAATGAAAAGACGTCGTACGCGGGGAGCCATTTCAATGAGCGAAACAACAATGAACGAATGGAATTCATAAGATGAGATAATCTCTCTAGCTGCTCTCTCTCTCTCTCTCTCTCTCTCTCTCTCTCTCTCTCTCTCTCTCTCTCTCTCTATCTCTCTCTATCTTTTGTTCACTCGCTTGCTCTCTCGTTTGCATTCAAATCCACAGCACATTCAATATCACGTGGTTAATCTTTCAACGATCAATAGAAAACGATAAGAATTATGCACGACCAAATGGCCACCATCCATAATGCCAAATACTAGTCTTTTTTTTTGTTATTGTTGTCTTGTTTTTGAATGCCATGTTATTAGCGTTATTATTATATTAATCTGCAGATTGTAAATCCAATTTGCGATGAATTATTATTGGCACGTTTGATTGGCGAGCGCGTGTACAATTCATCCGGAATCAATCACAATTTGGTTCTCTCTCTACCTCTCCTGTTTACTCTCTACAGTCGATTTGGTCTGTTTACTTGCCTTCTTTTGATGTATCTAGGCTAATAATGATGAGATTAAAAACCATCCCAAATCGAGTAAATTTTTTTTCCATTTATTTATTTTAATAAATGTGCGCGCACCAGCCAGCGCTCGTCGATGTTTGTATTTGTGTGTGCTTTTTTCTTGTTCATCGGGTTTTGTGTATTCGACCACTTTCTTAAATGCAAACATTGTCGTATGTCTCTCCGTCTCTCCGGTCGCGTATAACAAATGTGAAAGAGTTCACTGTGACACACCGTAACTTCATACTATCGATCACTTTCACTAGACATGCAGTTTTTGTTTTCATCGGTTTTGTTAAAGGTGTTTCAACTGCTTCAAAGTTTGTTTTTTTAAGTGTGGTGTGTTTATGTGTGTGTGTGTGTGTGTGTGTGTGAGGGAGAGAAAGAAACTAAAACCCAAAAACCATAAACGGCAAATGTATCGCGTTTGGTGTGTCTCTGTTGATCACAACAGTCAACGTAACTGGTTGTGCATTAAATAGATTGTGCGCATGCATTTAAGCACACTCATGCACGCATGCACACACTTCGGTGGCGATCACACGCTGAATAAGTACATAAGTTGGTGTTGGGGTCCAACCGAATGTCACTGCGCTCGCGCGCCTTTTCATCTCTCGGCTAATAATAATGGAATGGTGCGCGTGCGCGGCTACTGAAATTATGGCTGCAATTAGTTGCAATAAATGCCACAACCAAATGGGCCATTTGAAATGGGTGATTGCACCGTGCTCACCTTTATTACCGAAAACAACATGAATATTTATTGCATCGATTCCGGTTGGAATATAATGACGATAGAGAGAAATGAAAACAGCGAACAACAAGAAAAAAAAAACGAACGAACTAAAACCATGAAACGAAAAATAAACTCAAGTGATACGATTTTTTGCTGGAAATCATTTCTTTCGTTTGATCGTAAACGAGCAAGAAATTAACGGTTATGAAAATAAAAGCACATTTTGCGATTTTATATTGCTTTTATTTTTAAATGCATTGAAAGTACTTAAAATCGTTAATTTTGAATCAATGTGAAGACAGAGAGAGAAACACAAACAAAATAAACAAACAGAGCATTCAGATTCCCATGAATGTGAGTGCATACAATAGTGCAAAATTGCCGATCAATTTTAGTCAGAAGCAGCCACAGCAGCAGCCACACCACTTACATTACACAAAATGCATTCATTCCCATGATCGGGATCGAAACATCAAAACCAAAAATTCAAAGAGTAACAACACCACCATCCAAATTAAATGGTGAGATTGTTGATTTTGATGGTTTTTGGCGTGTAGTTGGATGCAGAGTGTTTTTTTCTCGAGTGCGCGCTCGCACAACGTGTGCAGTGCAACTTGTTGATGCGGTATGATTTTCTTCTTAGTTCGCTGCATTTTCTCTCTACTCACTTCTCTCTCTAGTCGCCATCGTCATCGGCGTCGGTTGTTTGGTTTGGCTTTGCAATTTTAAGGAAAGTAAAAATGTGCATTTAGGAATGTGTTAACCACACTTACATGAGAGTAACCATAAGCGTGCGCTCGCGCGCGCACACACACACACACACTCATTTATCTTTATTTCAATTTTCTTTAAGTTGAATGACTGTTGTAAAACGGGTGCCGTGCACATTTGGTTTATTTCGCTTGTTACTTTTTTTTCTTCTTTCGTTCATTTTATTTTTCGTCTGTTTGCTCTTCTCTCCGCCGTTGTTAGCAACGGTTGCATCTCCATCATATCATTGGCGCATATATGTTGCATTGTTACTTTACAACGAAACAATTATCAAATAAAATTAGATAATTACGGGGAGAAGGTTGCAGGTCTGTGACAATGCAGACGTGTGGTGTTCTCATCTCGATGTGATGCGGCCCTGGAATGCCTGCATCGTAGCTACCGTCTTCATTGTCGTCATCGTCGACATTTATCTTTCTCTCACCCATTCATGGTCAACGGTGAACCTGTGAACTTCACAATGAAAAGGCCATTTCACATGCACTTTGAAACATTGGGCTTTATTATATAGATTTTCTTTTTCATTAATATGCATACTCGTTTTCATTTAAATATAACTCCATAAATTTGATGACTACGTTAAATTTTTGATTAATTTCATACATTTCACAACTACATAAAACTCCATCGATTCAAAGTGGACTTACACACTAAAAACCTATGCGGATGAAAAGCCAACGTGATAATGCGATTGAGTTGTGATGCACTCTCCCAAAATCAACTTTTCGATGTGACGATCGAATTCTTCGTTCTCTGGTTATAACTATTTATTTGATATTGGTTTTAATAACACTCACACATTTCTTAATCTACTCTAAATGCTTCTTTACTGATTTTAATTTCTCTCTCTCTCTCTCTCTCTCTTTATTTTTCTCTTTTTTTCTGCGAGGAAAATTTGGTTCAGTTTCTTTGGAGAATTACTCTTAGTCATCTACAACCTCTTCTGTTGGTCTCCCATTGGTTTTATTGTAATTACACAGCATTTTGATTTGGGCTTATGTACAGATTTCTACTTTTCAGCCAAATGATGAACGAAATTGGATTTCTTAAAATTTATGAATTCAATGCTTAATACACTTATGCCGAATAACATGCCGAAACTGAAGCTCAAAAAGAGATTTCAAAATGAAATCAACGCAAAAAGGCAACTAAACAAAACTAAATTTCACACAGACACACAATATGTATATACATATATTATATATTTGGATTTTCAATGAGCTAGACGAATGCATTTGTAAATTGTTTCTGAATGTTGGTTAATCGGTGGCCACATTTTTTGCAAATTGGTATATCATTGTCATTATGGATGCTTTCCATTTTGGTGTGAATTTTCTTCGGTTTCGGTTTGGATTCGTTAGATTTTTGGTGTTCACAAGTGACGTCCGTTGTAGTAGCAGTAGCAGCAGCACCAGCACCAGCAGCGCTTGGTATGTCGATGGAATCATTTGTGATGGTGCTCTGAGGTGTTGTCGTATTCGAATTGAAATTTTCATCGGAAAATGATGATTCATCGAATGAATGATTGATTCGTGCACCCATTTCATCGCAGATACGTATTTTCAGTTTTGGCAGCAGTGTAATATCGCGTCCACTGCTCCCATGATGGATCTCCCATGACGATCTACTTCCACAAAAGTACTGTGAATTTTGCCGTGAACCATGCCATTCATCGCTACTCTCCTCCTCGTGCTCATCATTTTCCATTGAACCGTATTCATTGATGTCGGGCATCGCTTTTCGTCGCACCTCATAGTGTGACAACGAATATTTGCGATGCTTTGATGATGTGGCCACATCAAAACCTTTATTATAAAATGCATACCGAATTTGTGGATCGGATTGTCGCTTTTCCGACAATCGATTCGGTTGCAATCGATTTTCAAACGAATTTCGATTATCATATGTTGAACCGTCGACACGGCGTGGCGGAAAATATGGTCGAGCCGGTCGAACATTTTGACTAAATGATTTATTTCCACACAAACGTAAATCATTGCAAATGCGCCGATTCAATGCACTGTTAGTTGCTGTGCAAGAGCCAGCGGCACCCGCACATGATCGTTGTTTGTTTGCAAGTAAATCGTTTAATGGGGCGGTTTGAACTATAGCAAATTGCAAGGTGCTTATTGGCGTTGAGTCTTCATTGCTTGATGTTGACAATGATGGACTGATGTCATAGCCGCAATACTGATGCGGCATCTCCTGATGTCATAAACGATCGTATTTTATTCGTGTTGTTGTTGTTGTTGTTGTTGTTGTCGTTGTCGTTGGTGGTGGTGTCTCGTCAACGGTATCTTCTTCGGCACTAGCCTCAGAAACTAATGAGAAAATGATTAAAATAAAAACATTTATTTGATACACTCCCTTCTATTGATCGGACATTTTCACCATATAAAAAGTCATCTAAACATCGACTACAGCATCTACTCCCTTAATCTTAGTAATCAAATCAGTTTGCCAATTATCCGTTAATGGTTTAGATGAAACGAAACGATTTTTCAACAGAAAAACCACACAAGATTAATTAAACACTACAATTCGAAATAGTTGCATAGAAAACAAAGCACTGATGATTGACACTGTTGGACAACACGACATGTACAAATGAATTCACGAACAACATTTAAAATTTTGCTCAAATGATCTCTACAATACCTTCCCTTCGTACCTTCCCACGACTCTTCGCCGTCCTCCGTAATCGCGTGATTCTTACTACCCGACTCTCGTCCACCGTCTAAACCGTGAAAAACTAAGTCCATTCGAGAGTCTAATGAAAATTGCTTACCTATAATACGGCGGCGCATGTGATTCAAAAGAAAGAAAAGCAAGAAAAAGTCAATGAAAGTTGTAATCCGAAGCAATGAACGTTGAGCTGTTCCCCCACAGATGGAGACACACAAGCCAAATAGCAATACAACGAATAAATGGAGCAGCCCAACCAACGTTTGAGTATTTTTTTTTTTGTTTTGTTTTCAAACGTGCTTACAGAGAGAGCTAAAGAGAAAAATTGAGTGGAAAGTTTACCTGACATCAAAATGCCACGAACACGTCGACGCATCGCCGGCGAGTTTTGGCTCTGTTGGAGAAAAGACATTCAATGGAAATTATTAAAATATTGTCCCTTAAATATGCACATAAAAAACGAAATGTTTGATCACCGCTATTCGAATGCCTGCATAGGTTTTGGCCAAAAATTCATCTGCATCAAAAATAGCGGCAAATGATCCATTGACGATTTTCGGTGACATCGGTGAATTGGCAAGCAATAAGCTTGAGCCAAAAGCTTCATTCTTTTCCCGTGTATCTGCAACGAGTTAAAATATTTTACACGCCCATGAGAAAGTTCAATGAGATGCGAGGAAAATTCGAGGCGAACAAATTTTTTTTTCAGTTTTAAATTCCAACATATAAAGAATTGCTACATGATGAAAAAATCAACAAATGGCACAACTGATGAAGGACTAGCTAAATTTTGAATTTAATTTTGTTCAACCGAGTGTATATCGCAAAAGCATTGGTTTCCAAGTTGGAAATTCCAACGGTGAATAAAAAAGTTTTCAACAAACTTTTGGGATGCAGAGCTTGTTTTCGTTTTGTGCAGCTTTTCAGTGGCGTATCCAGGGGATGTTTGGGGGTTCAACCGCAAAAAGATTTGCGGAAAGAAAGAAGAGAAGAATCGATTTGTAAAACCACATATATATTTTAAAATAAAATTTTGATTCCGATACTTCATTTTTTCACGGTATATGCGTTTTATTCTGAAAATTTCCTTTAAAAAAACTATAATTGAAACCCCCCCCTCCCCCCGAAATTCAACTCTGGATACGCCACTGCAGCTTTTCAATTGCAACCATAAATTTTGTTTGGTTTTAACTTGAATTCCATTGATTGCCGTTGAAACCATTGCTTGTCTTCACAAAGAAACGGTAACTTAAAAGCAATGCATTGGATAGTAATAAAAAAGCACCTTTGAGATGTACTCGAGCCCGATCAGTGATGTGTACATTCAATTCTTCCAGCAGTTCCGTTGATACTTTTCGAATTTCGGCCCAGTCCTTGAGCAAGTCATCGTTCGAGGTGTGCGTTGATGTAACGGTAAAGCTATCGAAATGAAACAAAAAAGAAAGATGATCGAGAATTGAAAGCGTTTTATTTGCGTTGTCATCAAATCATCTGAGCTGAAAACTTCATACCGAATCACGTATTTGCCTTTCAACGAAGCTGGTACACAGTGCAAGTTACCACGATGATTCAAACGCTTGAGTAAGCGTTCCGTTAAATCGTTTTCACCTTTGATCCGAAATACGACCATGCCTGATATCGTATCAATTGTGTCCAAAAAGAAAACAAAGAAACGAAGAAGAAAAAAATGAACATAAATTTTTGTTGAGTTGACCAAATGAAACGCAAAGAAAAAGTAAACGAAAGAGAGAGGTTAGAGTGCACCCGGTCGTCGACCGTTCCATACAACGACATAAATAGCTAATGTTTATTTAAAATAATGAAAATGTTCAACGAAATATTCCAATTTCAATTTGCATAATCCGTATTTCACTTAATTATTCACACAAGAGTTTTGGACTCATGAAGAGAAACGATTCATGATCATCGCTTCTCAATCACTATCAATCAGCGTTAGCTTCGACTGTCTCATCTTTTCTTTTTTTTTCGCCTCATCGACATTTTGCATTTCATTTGGGAAAAATGTAATAAATTAGAAAAAAAAAATAACTTATGATTGGTATACAACACATACCCAAATGTCTTATTGCTGGAATTTCGAATCGGCTGTCGGCCAGAACAAGAGCTTCAAATTTTTGTGCTAGTCGAACGCCCTGCGAAAAGCAAATCAAGATAGAAGAGTTCAAGCAAATCAAACAATCAGAAAAATTGAAATCAAGCACCGCAAAATGGCAATTAGAAACCAAACGAACGAACGATGGAGCGTGGTCAGAATGAAAGAGTGAGGGAGAGCGAGAGAGAGAGAAAGAATGAGACTATGTAGTAATAGAGTGAGAGCATCATTATTTGTTGCGTTTTTTTTCACTTACCTCGCGTATATGCTTTTGCAGACCTTTTATGCCGTAATTTCGTAAGACAAACCATAATTTCAGTGCACGAAAACGTTTACTTAATGGAATTTGCCAGTGCTAAGCAATAATTTAATAAGTGAAGAATTTTTCATGCGAGAGTGTATTGTTGATATGTGTGTGTGTGTGTGTGCGGTTTTCGTTGTTATTATTATTATACGAAGCCATTCCAGTGAGACGAAGCCGATTCCGTTTGATTGAATACACCCAAAGAATGGAAGAAAAACAAAAAATGCAAAATCATGAACAATTGTTATCTCACAGTTTGAATCACATTAAGAAATGATTGCGGTAGATTTGTTTAAAGAGCGTTAATTCAAGTAATTTACCATGTAATCGATAGCCAGTCCTGTTTAACGGAAATGATAAATACAACAACAATTATTTTCAGTTAGACATGAGCTATGTGTGTATGTGCGTGTGCGTTAATATCACGCGAATGTGCTGCATAAACACCATTCTACGAATGAACTAACTAACCTGAATTTTCATGCTGCAAATAGAGCGGCTCCACATTAAATGTTCTATGCAATGCGCAACTGTTCTTCACCCTGCAAAGAAATTCCATATTGCCAAAAATGTTAATCCATGCGTGTTGCAATGTGCATCGCACATACACTAAAAGAATAGTACTAGTCTCAGTGTGTATCGTAGAGATAGCACAGATCGGGACAACGAGAAATAGTAAGAGAGTGAAGGAGCGAGAGCAAGATCGACAAAGAAAAAGGAATGGTGCGACCATTTAAATTTTTTCGACACCGTATCCATAAAGGATCGAAAGAAGATACAGAAACCTGTTTAACACCTCGCATTATCTCGATACATCAGCCATTTGACCCGTTTGCGTTAGTGCGAGCATGCGCGCAAGTGTACGCGCACATTTTATAACATCCAATGCGCAATCAAATGTTTTTTAGTTGCCACACATTGGTTTCTTTTCGTGTATGAACATTGGCAAGTGATAAACACCGCTAAACGGCCATATAAAATGATTTAACGGGATCTGATATGGAAATTTATCCATTTAATATGCAAGCCTATGTTTTATGTTTTTATCGCTTTTTTCGCGCGCTTCACTTAAATTAGTTTTATTATCAAATTAGAGTAGAGCTGTGCCGGTGAATGAAGGCACATGGCATCGCGTAAATCATAAAAAGAGGAAACGGACTCGAACATGAACTTGGAAATGATTCGCACTTTATAATCCTGACTTTAAATCAGGAAATTAATCTTGATTCTCAGTCAAAAGTTGAGCTTTGTCTACTTAAGCTAGAAGAAAGCAACAAAAAATGGTTTCTTTGTTCAAGCCATTCAACAGATGTTCACTGCTGTAACAAAGGCGATGATTGCGCAAAACCGCAACATTTCAATATATTTATATGCAGTTAATTAAAAAGTATTTCCCATGGCCATATGTTGCAACTTACAAAGTGCACACATGCAAATCCGTTGCAATTCAAATAAATCGAAAGAGATTTTCAAATTGTAATCATTCTAAAAACTAAACTTTAACAAAAAAGAAAATGTTCAATTTTTTCGTTCGTTTGTTTTTCGTTACCTTCGAATGCAAATCATTTCGATTGTCGGCTTAAGATTTATGCTATGAACCAACTGCTTTGCTCTTGTCTTGCGTGAAGCTGGCAAGGCAAAGCTTGTTATTTTCTATCCCTGATCCAGAATAATCTATGATAGAAATATCTGGCGATTCATAAGCTGTGTGTGTGTGTGTGTATCAGCACCAGAACGTGTTAGTAAGAAAAGTTTGACCGTTTTCCCTCCACTGCGTTTTTATTATAAAACGGAGTGGCGACTATGAAAGTCCAGCTTAGCAGACGAATAAATATATATAATTCGATAATGATCAATAATATACAGTTTTTGAATTGAAAATTAAACGAAAGACGATTGAGATGTTCGGAAAAAACAAGCAACAACACCACTTCCTTTCAATTTATTCATAATGTGCACTTAATTTCGATCAACAACAATCTTTCGACATCTTGCATTCGATGCAGCAAACAAGATTGACTCAGGCGCAACTCAGTCAGAAAAAAATGAACAAAATAAAAAAAACACTGAAAAAAAGCAAATCGAATACTGTTTATATTGCTTTGCTCTAAAGAATGTGGTCATCGAGTGTTCCATGATTATTATTATTTTTCGTCGATGTTGTTGCTGTTTGGGCTGATGTGATGCTGCTGGTTTTAGTAGTCAATATATATGTATAAATATGAGACCAACAACGATGCACGCTATGTACCGTTAAGAGTATTGCCGGGACGTTCAATCGATGAACGTCTGACAACGAACCAACGAATGTGTGTATGTTGTACTTTTTTTCCTTCTTTTTTCTTCTGTTCATTTTGCAGCAGTCGAATGATAAGAGCAAATAATATACAAAAAATCACGTACGAACGAGAACATGTTCTTACTTAAAAGTAAAGAGAAACAAGAAGAAAAATCACTGATTCCATCAAATCGCCGTCGCACTGCAATGTGTATAATTTTGTGTGTATGTTTTTTTCTTCATATTTATTCGCGAATTCTTTTGCTGTTATTGTTTTGTTTTTCGTTCTCTTCGTGTTTTTTTCTCGATTTAATTGAATCGTATTGCGGCGATAAAAGCCAACAGCTCTCATTGCGAATATTTAGACATGCAGCAGATTTCAGCAATGTGCACAAGGTTCGAAGGTTTTTGAATATTTTCAGTCATTTTCGCCAATTTCTGAACACCTTATTAAATTTTCGGATTGATATGGCTCTCAGCTGGCTGTTTAAGTAAGAAGAAAAATGATCGTTCCCGGGCGCATTTGAAATGGCAGCTTGAGTGTTTTTTTTTTTTCATGTGTGTGTTTGAATATCGACTAAATCCTTTCGAAATATTGATTTCCTTATTTCGAGGCTGCAGTAAAAAATGTTGGTACGTGGGTCGAAAAAAACATTCACCGAATCGAACACACATCGAAATGTTGGAAAATCATCTTTGCATTTGAAAAGTTGGTTCCTTGCAATTCTTGGCTGCGATAATTAATGCGATCGCACGAATCGGCTTCAAAATCACATACCAATGCCTACTTACGTATAGAGAGAGGCTAAAGTACTAAATCATTGATAATCATGAATCATATTCAAAATTGAAACGAAACGAACGGAATAAATGACGACTTACCACATGGCCGTGCAATCGAAGTGTACCATAAGCCATTTTGACGGGTTGAATGCAATCGAATCGGCCTTTTCGATGCCTTTCAGCCAAACGCGATACTCGGGACAAATGAATGCGCTGCCAGCATAAGCAGCATCAACGTGTAACCAAATTTTGTGCTCCATGCAAATATCACCAATCTTGGTGTGTTGTTATGCGCACGCAATCGATCCATTGCATTCGGTTGAACGGACACAGCCGCCACGGTAAACGTATAACGAACGAAATGTGTATACATACATTTTCAAACCACGCACCGCCGAAAAAAAAAGCACAGCACATAATCAAGAAGAGAAAAAAAAGCAAGAAATAAAGCAAAGTACGAGTAAATATTCTTTTCGCTTTTTTTGTATTTTTGGAAAACGAGAATCTTTTTTAACGGTACTCTTGAGATAATGATGTTTTTTTTTTTGCTTCAACGAATATTTGGATATGTTTTTCGTGTTGTGCAAGTTAAGAAGAAAAAATAATCGGAATTGTTATATGTTCTTTATTTTTGGCAGCGTAATAATATTGCGAATTTATTTAAATTCAATATTACCTCGTTCAAGTTGTCAAATCCACAGGCACCCGTTGTTCCAAGCGTCGCGCAAACCTGTGACAAGACACACGGAGAGAGAGAGAGAGAGAGAGAGAGAGAGAGAGAGAGAGAGAGAGAGAGAAAGAACAACATTTACCAAAAGTCAACAATCATTACACAAACTGTGTTTAAAAGTTATTTAAAATAATTTATCGATTATTGCAAAATACAGTTACAGCGGGCCACACTTCATCGACTAGAGCCGAAGTGACATTCATGGTTTGGTTGATGGTCGTGGTGGTGATGATGCAACCAAAGAAACTCATCCGAAATGCCGATATTCATATTAAAACGATGGACAATGATTTGCATTCGATGTTTTTTATTCGCTCATTTTTATCTTACGCGCTCTGCACTTCTCTTGTTCGGTTCTTTTTATTCAGATTTCACACTTCTGCACCTTTTTGTTGCCCCAGCGATAGCACCACACTTACATATACGCACATCGGCCATAAATGAATTCATAAATTATCCGTTTGAATAAATTATGACCATTTCGAGAGACTTCAGCTTCAATTGAACTCGAACAATTCGCTCAACATGCGCCAATTGTAAACCATTACCGAACGAATATGGAGAAAATGAAGAAATTGCCGAAACACACGGAGAGAAAGAGATGGTTGTTGTGGTGCGTTCTGTGCGAGAATTTCGTATTAATTATTGCTTTTGATCAATCATTAAATCGAAATAAGTGCTTTTGTTCACGCACATACACATACGGTGGAAAGCCAATCAGTCAGAAAATCAACGAGACTTTTTTACTGCTCATTTCTGTTCTCTATTTCTGTCCCTCATTCGTAATGTAAGCACATGTGCTTTGTGTTTCCATACTACTATTCTGAGAAGAAGAATATACGTTTGCAACTTTAATTGTTAGTTGGTTGAAGTGCGCAAAAAAAGAGAACGAAGAAAGAATAATGGTTGGAATATGAAAAGTCATTGAAATGAGTGATTTTCCTTTTTTCTGCTTTGATGCTTATTGCTTTTGTTTTGCATAACAAAGGCCATTCGTCCGATTTTATTTGGCTTAACGTTCGTTGTTAGCGCACATCGGAGAATTTGGACGTTTATCTCGATGAAATTCCATACTCTGTCTCTATCTCTCTCTTTCTGTGTCGATGTCTCACCGCTTCGACTAGATACATAGTTGGTTTGCTGATTCAAGGGAAACACAGCGTAAAGCAATTTATTTCACCAGCGTCGCACTGATAAATAAAAAAAAAGAAACAGCAGTTAAATTATAACCAAATGGTAATTACTCGAGTAAATGGAAATCAGGTATGGCGCGCATCAATTTTCATTTGAATGACCGTCGTTGTGTTGGCCAAACTTGAACGTGCTCACACATACACCGTTGTGATAAATCGATGCTTTCGTCTTAATAAATAATTTGCCTATTAAAATCCATTAGAATCCATTTCATTTCCGTGTGGAATTATTTTTCGAAGTTTTAGACGCCGTGTACACATTTTCAGCAAGTACCTCGATTTACAATCGTCGTCAATTCCTGAGAAAAATATGCTTTGCAATAGAGTGTTGTGAGGGAGAGAAAGAGTGAAATATGGAAAGAGTGAGCGAGATAGAGAGTGAGCGAGATAGAGAGAGAGACCTAGAATCGCACGAAATGTTGTCAAGATGCTTGTTTAATGGGGTTTTTTCGTTAATTATTTCCAAAGCACTTTTGATAATCAAAGTCAAGCGAACCACAAACAGATCGAATGCTCGAATAATAATGGCATCTATCAGGATTATTTATATGTTATCCTCCCTGTTCCAATGTTGGTTTGTTTCTCTTCCTTTTCGGTGCTATTTTTCCATCGAAATCCAAATCTGTATTGTTCAAATCAACCGCATCATTAAAACTAATAATACAATGTCAGCGCGCATAAATCGCATCTGTGTCTCTTCTATTTTTCCCGATATTGTGCAGCATTGGAGCATAGGCATACGCTAATATTTCAGTGCGGCACAAGTCACGCAAAAACGAAACACCATAAATAAAATGAAAAACCTTAAACAATGGACAAACCGTTCTTTTGGCAAAGAGCAATAGAGCCAGTAAGTGAGGTTGAGACGGAGAGTGAGCGAGCGAGAAAAAAAAAGATAGAGAGAGAGAGAGAGAGAGAGAGAGAGAGAGAAAAAGAGAAACGAAGAGAATGCGCGCGTAAATTCGTTAAAGCGCCAGTTCCGGCTCTGAAAAATACAGTTGTTGAAACACATTGAGAATGTTGTGGCGCGCGCGCATACCACCTTTTATGAAGGCAATAAAAACATCATTGAACTTCGTTGGAATATTATCTAAACTACAAAGTGTTCGTTATTCGTCGAACGCACCATAAATTCTGCAAAGCGCGCGCGCGCTCGCTCGCTCACGCGGCAACGCAAAGAAGAAGAAGAAGAAGAAGAGAAAACAATCCCGAGTCTCTTTCATTGCTAATACAAACAACTAATTATTATTCATTTCTATCATGTCGCCATTCGAACTCTCTTATTCGAAATTAATTAACTCTCGTGGGAATATGCATAAAAATAACTGTGTGCGTGTATGTGCAAAATTCGCCGGGAAAATAAGCCAAAGTGATTGAAATGGAGAGAGAAGAAGGAAAGAAAAAAAAAACACCCAAACAAAGGCACAATTGCATATGCTCGAGAGAACCAACAGCAAGTAAGCAAGCAAGAAGAAAAACAAGACTAGAGAAAGAAGGAGAGACGATTTATGGCATAACCGTAATGGAGCATGTGAAATGCAGTCGAACAAAATGATGTAAACGAAGAAGAAGAAGAAGAAGAAGAAGAAGAAGAAGAAGAAGAAGAAAGCAAAATTTAAATCACATCCCGATATACCGATACACTTAACAAGCCAAGTCCAGAAAGTATTTTTAAGTTGGTTAGTAAACGAGAATAGAGAAATAAATCGGATTTGTCAACCACGCTGCTGCTGCTACTGTCACCACGAAGAAAATATTCAATGAACGCGAATAGCGAACAAATGGCAAAAACAACACGACAACAGAAACAACAAATGAATAGAAGGAAAATAGAAATGAACCGACGGATAGATGACAAAGAGAACAAAGCAGAGGGAGCAGGGAAATTGGCAGAGAGAAGCCAAAACCGATTTTCTTTTTGGCTTTCATAAATAGCAAAATCAATAATCAGTGTCTATCGTAATGTACAAAATACAAAGTCGAAAACATAAATTGCAGCGCCAGTCGAACGGTACACTGAGCCAAGCAGCAACGAGAGAGTGAAATAAAGAAAGAGGAAATTTACGGTGATGTGACACCTAGTGTGCCCTGGCTGATGCATAATCGGAATTACGTGGAATGAATGGCAGAGCAAGAGAAAGAGAGAGAGAGAGAGAGAGAGAGAGAGAGAGAGAGAGAGAGAGAGA